CCACTTACCATCAGGTGGACTGTGTGCTCGTTTGTTACCTTATCCTATAAAAAAGGATCGATGTGAATGTCTATGAGCATTCACTTAGCATTAGGGAACTGTGCGCGTAATACCCTTTTTAAAAAATACTGACAGTGTTTTTTTTCTTCAATTTTATTAATTTATATTTTAGGGAATGTGCGATAAGAATTTTAAACACGAGTTTTTGGGACAAGGATTGTATAATCCACATAAGCATCAATAAGCTCATGAGTTAATTTCAAAGTGAGGCGTGGGTGAAGATATCCTTATCATATTAAATGTGCGCTTGCGATAATCAAGGCAAGCAGTAATATATTCACAGTTACTTCATACACTTTAATTAAAAACACGGTAAAAAGTAATTTGAATATCTGACATAAATTACGAAGAACTAATAAATTAGTAATATTTTTTTTAAAACTAAAGAAAGTCACAAATGAACCTATAGCTTTACTAATGGTAAATCGCTAACTGCTGTCCATAAACACCTGTAACTATCTTCAAGAAAAAAGCCTTATAGCCTGTAATTACTGCCGTATTTGTACTGTATTTGTACTCCTGTAATTGTACTGCAGGTGCTGTCGTTTGGTGTCTAAAAGAGATAATTGAAAGATATGGTAGCAAACCTAGACACCTACCTAAAAAAAGCCCTACCTACATAGTTTTAAATTTTAGCTAGCGTGGTTATTTTTTCTTTTTTCTTTCACTGCCCATTTTCTATTTTTCAGTTTTATATAGTAATATCAGAATGCGTACTGCTAACAGAATTATGAAGTAATTTTATTTCTTCTAAGATTAAACTGCCATTATCATATAACGTGATATTTCTAGGCAAATTAGAAGATAACACTATAACACGATGGGAGTAGCGTCTTTGTGGCAATTTAGAACAATATGTCGTAGATTATTACTCCTTCGTTTCTTACTTACTGCAATTACTAGGTAAAAGTAATATCGGTTCAAGTAGTAATCATCCTGCTATTTATACACAAATATATATCACGTTTATGTTGTACACCTACATATTGTTATATGTCCAATAAGCTAAATAAAATGTCAGTTTTATTGGTGCTCTACCAATTGAAAACAAAAACTATCAAAGGTTAGTTGGCAGAGAATGTCATTATGGTATATATGGTATAAATATATTTAAAAAATAATTGGGAAATAAAAATCCTTTTTATCTATCTGTACATATAAATAATAATGTTCCCCTAATATTGTAATATACGTTTTAATATAGCATTTTACTTCAGTGCATAGCATTGCGTCTGGGCTAAATTCTTTATTTGTTTTAATGAACAACATCCGCTATAAATTATTTGAAAAGTGATAAACACAATATTAAACAAACGTTTAAATTAAATTGCATAATTTACGATCATGAAACCATAACGAAAGTATATATTTTCGATACCCATTCATCTACGAGCGTCGATAGGCACTAAATGCTTACTATCGTCCATAAATCTCGTAACTCCTATTCAGAAAACGAGTACCAAGCTATAAAATGACTTATAATAATGGATATACGCGAGCAGCTTTTGATTATACGCCTTTGTGTTCGTAGCATTATCTGGCTCATAGAAATTTCTATTCTAATAGTCTCACTTCATGATATATTTATAGTAACAAAAGTTTACTAATGATAATTGCATTCATATTATATAAATAATAGCATTCATTTTAAAACTTTACCAACATCATCATTAAAGTTCATCACAAGTCCATTGCTGAACAGAGATCTCCTCCCAAGTATGCCACAAAGTACGGTCATCATCAGGTCATCACTCCATCTAGTGGGAGGCTACCCAACACTACGCTTGTCGTTACGAGTCTGTCTCACGAGAACCTTTCTTCCACATCGGTTGTCGATTCAAAGAACTATATGGTTAAGGAAACGGACTGAAACTCGAAAGTATTGGTTTCGAATACGAATGAGAATCAGTAGTGAAACAATTCTATTGCATTTTAAGGTTGTTGGAGTAATTAACGAGAGTATTTTTAGTCACCAGCATTACTATTTTTTAATAGCTCACTTCTGGATAGATCTTTCTTAAAATGTACCTTAAGCGAAGTACTTGGAATTATTTAATTTAATTAATTCTTTGAATCCATAAGAAGCACGCTAGGCGGGAAGAAGCGTGAATGCCGTTTAATATTAGTAATGCTTCCCCACTAGCCTGTGAAATTTGGTTTACTAACACATTCCATACTGTCAGTATTGAAAGAGATGTCAGGTCGAAATGAAACAGGGGATGTGCAGAACCATTTTCTGATAACAACTCAAATACAATAAAAATACTGCGGTCGCTCGTAGGCCAAGCGTGACAACTGTATCGGGCGCCAAAGTTAAGTTTAACATGGTGCACCACGTGCATTAGAGTAACAAATGAGCACGCAGTCCACCTGTTGGTAAGGGGATTATGTGACCCATAGTTCATCTATCCTCAATTAACAATCAAAATATAGATGCGTTGTTACATTTAAGGAATAAAATTAAATGCCTCGTTACCAGTATATAGGATAAGGGTCTCTAAGGGGCGGTTCTCTGCACTACCCATACGAAGTGGTAGCAGCTTAAGTTGCTATTCTTAGAGAGCATGGTCCTTCCTCGGTCGAGCCAACAATTTTTGTTGCAACTATAATAGAGCTGCATTGGTTACACATAAAAACTTTTTGGGTAATTATTTATTACATAACATTATGCATCTAATGCAATATAATAAATAATTAATATAATATGTATATGTATCATCTAGAATGAAATTCAAAAATAAATATATCCAAAAAAAAAAGATTATTAAACTCGTAATAAATGTTATCACAAGATTAGTAATAAACATTTCAGGAAAACAAACATAAATATTTGAATTATTACAAAATAATTGAACATTTGTTTCTACAGCTTTGTATCGTTTGACGATTAAATCTGACGTCAACGAGTTTTGTTATTTTAACGTCTTATATCAAAATATAGGTTTATAAAGTCTAAGCTTTTTATATTATCAATTATGTATAGACTGTTTTTGTTATGAATTAAAATTTGGCAGAATCACAAATAAAACAGTAATGTCTATCAAAATTATTTATAAAATATTAAATTTAAAATAAATTTTCCATTTGCAAATCATATATACAACAACTTTGGTTTAAAAATATTAAAATATCGTTATAGTTCAAATGGTTTTGGTTTCACTTAATTTCCACTTAAATTTAACTCTGCCTTAAAACCATTAAATATGTTCTTATTGAAATTTAAATTCATTTATTTATTGCCAGAATGAGGTACATAATATTATAATGATTTTATTTATTAATGAGTCCTTACATTTTACCATTATATTAGTATGCAATTAAATTTTACAATATAATATAAGTAATTGTTACCTAAAAGTAAACACGCTTTATGAAATTGCAGAATAATGTAATTTAGCAGGATCAGCTGTAAATTATGTATAAGACTTTTCCATAATAGCCCATATAAGAGGTTATTTGAGTTACTTTCACAACGTCCATATTAACCTCTTTTAAATTTATAATCATTACATAATTAAATATATTAATCAGTTTGTTGCTAAATAACAGAAAATGTAAGTGATACATTTCTGATTTATTTATTTTTCCCGTATATAACTTAAGACTAGCATGCTACAATTGTTGATGCAAAAACACTTCACCTTCTAAACGCCTAGTTAGTTACAGATTATTTAAGCATGAATTTAAAAAATATTGGTCAGGCCTTCCATCCATTCATTACAGCCTATAAAACTTCACTGCTGAACACAACATGTTTCTTCCATAGATTTCCTCATAGGAGAGATTTTGAGCGCGCAACCGATTTGCGTCAAAATCTTCGTGAGTTGGAGTTTTTTCAACGGCAATATCAATAACTTGTTTTTTTTTTTTAATGATCGGCGGTAAAAGAAAACATTGTGAGAAAACCTGCATGTCTGAGAAATTTAAATAAAAATAAATAATAAGACATGTAAATGTAAGTCCACCGACACATATTTGGGCACCACATCTATAGCAACAATTTTACATTGACAGCACGATTTTTAACCGTCTTCGAAAACAAAAAGAATTTTTCATTAGCATGAGATATAACGAAAGTTTTAAAACAATATTTCCGTGATGACTTAGATCAGGCCTACTTTCTAGATGTTTTACTATATATACCACGAAAAATATTACTTAACATTTGGAACCCTATTTAAGTTTTTACGGAAATTAATTCGACGTTATACAAAGATTTTATCTCTACAAATATAATCGCGGTTTCTAAGAACTTAGGAATTATATTGAGAACATGCAAAGAAATTTAGGATAAGACTTTTGTAACATGGGAAAGAGTCCTTTCACGGCCTCTCCTTTGAAAAGTATTTCTAATAAGGGTATACAACATGATTAAGGATTAACATTATAAACCGAAATAAGAAATTGTACAAATATTACTTTTTGAATGATGAATACGTATTTTTGACCTTTTTTTGTAGTAGAAATCGGTTTGTAGAGTCTACGCGCGATAAGTTTTTAAAGAAACTATAGGAACGATTGGTACCTTTCTCACTACGTCAACGTTCTTGGGAATATTCCAGGAGTAGTAAGGCCAAGACGATATGTTTTTTTGTTAATTACATAATATAAATATATAAATAATGTAATAATATACACAATATATACACATATGTTAATAACATAACGTACATATTTGAGCAGTGGTAGTTCAAGTGGTTAGCGCTCGCTGTTAATTTCACAGTATGCGAGCAACCCGGATTCAGTCCCCACCTGGACCAATGAAATTGATAACTCCAATTTTAAGTGCTGATTTACCATGTGCTTGGCGGTGAATGAAGACATCCTAGCCTGCGCCCAACAGTGGAACGTATATAGGCTGTAACTTTATCTTTTGCCTACAGAATGCCGTGGAATGGATTAATTGGAGCCGGGTGAGGTGAGCGAACAGTGGAAACGCGATGAGCGCACCAGACCCTTTAGTGCTTCAAGCACTGCAAGGCTACACACAAGAATGTGACAAGTGGCCTGGAGCTCGAGTGGTTAAAATTTACGTCGCATCTGTATACAATGGTAAGAAAAATATTTCATATTTTCGTGGATTTTACTCTATTTCTGTTCAGTCATTATCTTCTGACTGACCTGTCTCTTAATAATACGATTTCAAATTATTCTGAAGTAAGATTTTCGTTTGTATGTAGCTTTAAAGTGACAAAGAGCTAACTATCCACTTGATGGTAAGTGGCAAATGTAGCTTTTTTATATCTGCCACCAACTTCAATAAACCAAGTTATTTGTACATTGCCGCAAAGGATACTATGTATAGACTAACTGTACACCCTTGAAACCGAAACACAGTCATATATTGCTGCTTGGTTGCAAAAATGAGTCAGAAATAGGTTACCTACTTTGACGAACGCCTAGGCAGAAAATAAATTATTTTTGTTTGTAATCTATACATTGGATTCTTTCTGTTGAACTAATTTACATTTCTTAAAGGATTATTTTGACAAGCATAGATAACTATCCTACATGGATAGACTAGCCTAGACAGAGCAAACGTTATTTCGAAATTCCAAATAATTTTAGATCAGACTCTATCTATATGTATGTATATATTATGTAACTCTAACGTCAATAAATAATAAATAAATAAATTTGGTATTTATTTTCTATCACATATGATCAGTACATTACAATAAACTTACACAACTAAATAACAGCTATAAATACAAACTAAATGAGATCTAGGTGGGAGCTGGTGCCCAAACTAGGTTGCCTTGTGTTATGGGATCACTAGGCCACCATTAAATATGTCCCTCAACAGAAGTGATATTGCTGTAAACACTTAATAAGCAGTGCAATTACTTGCATTAAAAGTACATAACAACATTGTACTAAGCATCAATATTTAAAGAAATTTTAATATAAAATGATGTTTGTTTAATTTTCTTTAATAATTTTGGTGTGTCTAAAAGAGACATGAACATTATACTGAGCATTATTACTAAACTGATTACTGTTACAGAAAGCAATTTATTAATTTGTACACTACATAAATACAAACTTAGATTTTGTTAGAACTGAGTTCTAATAATTACAACATCTTGCTATAATATGCTTAAAAAATATAATGTAGTGTATATGATAGGTGTTTTTAAGAAATAGTCTTGGCTATATTTACTTTTACTTGTATTGTTTTTATTTATTGTTCTATTGAGTAAAACTGAAGCAATAATTTTACGTTGAAGTAAACAGAATATTTTTGAACGATTTAATTATCTTGAAGTGAAAAATTGTGATTTCGATCATATTTATTATTAACTTAATATTCATTGATAACATGTGTGTCAAATGTATTCACACTATGTATACACATAGAGCATGAAATTTTACAAATAATTGATTTTAGAATTTCGAGAAGAAAGACGCAATCTTCTTGAGATGGTTGGACCGGAGCTGCAATCAACATACGACGATCGACATATTGAGGTAGGAATTTGTTGTAAAGTAGATTAGCAGGAAAACTTACGTTCCGTATTAGAACTGTAATTATATTTAACATTATACGTCTTATAAGCTAATAAATATGAAGTCTTTATTAAAACACATTCAAAGAAATGACGGGATTTTTTTTTAATTTTCTTAGTTTATAATTACAATATATGTTATCCGTATTAGGATTTTGATTGAGACATTAACATCATCGAAATTATCTCATCGTTAGTAGTTAATGATAATTATACTAAAGAAGACAATTTATTTTTGTATGTAGAATGGACCCACTACAAAATGTGGTGTGCAGTTTATTTAAGAATACTTAATTTCAAAATATTCACATCATTTTCCATACATTTAATTTTTTTGTTTAAAGTATAGTTTTTAATAACGTCTTAAAACACAAAAAGTTTATATGCATATTTTTTTTATGTAAGAACACACTTATGCTTATCACATATTAAAAAGAAATTTTTTATATTTGGTGATATCAAATATAAAATGGTTTTCAGATCGAGTTTGTTGATATGCACTACGGTACCGACGGTAAAGATGAAACTAATCCTGCGCTTTTACGATACCATTTAAAGGAAATACAATGCTGTAACCATACATCAAAAGCAGGATATTTTCTTGTAAGTCGATTAAAAGTAATTATGGCAATACGGTGTAATTAAAAATAGCATCCTTTTATACTTTATTTTAAATGCAAACAAAATTTTATATTACACTTATCAATGAAATACTTTCAACTGAAATTATTTTCAGTGTTTTATTGGAGGTGAGGCATCAATGTATCAACCTGTTCTTCCCTTTAAAATTCCTATCAACACGTTTGAAAAATTAGTCAAAATTAACTCGGCTCAGGCAGCTCTTATTCGAGAATGTTACAAGTTGAATGGCGACAATATCTACCAGTTAGAAGGTGACGAAAAATGGTATGATATTAAAATATATGCTGATATTCATAGCGTTCACACAAAAAGGTCAAAACCAATTCATAATCCCCTTCAAGTGAAGGGGATTTTTTTGATTATAAACAAAAATCATTGAAATTTTAGTCATCTACAGTAATTTAAAATCATCAATAAACTACTACCGGATCCTTTCTACTTGTCTTCTTTCTCTTTTTTGTGTGATTATGTTACATATAAAATACATTAGTTACCTACTTATTTAAATATGAAGTAAATATCGAATGTATATTCTAAATACAATTAAAGAAAAAGTAAAATTATCCTAGGTTTAGCGACTTAATAGAACGGGAAGAACAACGAAAGCACCTGTCGGCAATCGAAAAAGCTTTCAAGACACTGGCTCTAGAAGCTTTAGAAGACAAAGATGGCGTCGCTGATTTACTACGAAGTCCAACCGAAATACAATGTGAGCTGGCTTTAGGTAAATCTTCTTGATTTTTCTGTATATTAACAAACCCATTTTCATTTTCAGAAAAATACTTTAATAAATAAACAAAAATAATTTAATAAATATAATAAAATAATAAAAATAATTTACATTGAAGCCATGCATAAATTTTCTGAAAATAAGAAAGTTGTTTTCATTTTATGCTTTTGAAACTGTCTTTAGTATTGGCCGTATTAAATTATTTCTTATATGTAACGGATTGTTTTTATTTTAGAATTACTATCAAATGGAAAACATTCAAAAGGCATGATAGTTGTTTTAAGAGATATTCCAGATCTCGAACACGATGATTCTAAATTGACAATCATAGCACATGATCGATTAATAAAATTGCAAAGAAAACTTGAAGATATACTACCAGATGGCCACATCATAAGATTGGAGTAGGTATTAAAATTAAAAATGTTATTACATTTTAGGGAACTTTTGCAGCGAAAAAAAATATAATGTCAAATATATTTCTGTGCGTTGGCATTATAATAGGGTTTTTATTCTTTAGGACGACTTCAGCTGATTCATCAAGGACTGATGGAGCTTCTGATAATGACGAGAAACTGTCACCATTCAGAGATCGAGTTCATGCTGTAGTCAGTGCATTGATAGATGATAGCTTAAGTACTGAGCCTGACCAAGGTAGAGGAAGGAAAAAGACGGTACAGGTAAAAACAAAAACTATCTCGTCACAAATTAGCATAAAAGTAACTTAAAGGTATATTTTGAGAGTAATTTTGTGTATCGCCAATTAAATGTGAATTTTCTCTTTGCAGGAAGTTTTCCTAGAGCATATTACTCATCTTAGGATATGTATAGAACATAATAGTCGTTATAAAGTAACTGCTAAACAAATTGAAGATATTGCTAAGGACATTTTAACCAACGTAAAAGAAAATTACGAAAACCGGTGTCGCCATCCTCCTGTCCTGATATATGGTCCTGATGCTTCAGGAAAAAGCACTTTATTGACGCATTTGTATTTTAAATGTGAAGAATTTTTTTCGAAACCCGTTTTGAGGATTATACGGTTTTCGGCATCTACTCCAAGATCGGCCTACAATTTGGAATTGCTCAGAGTAATGTGCCAACAAATATCAATAATTTTAAATATTCCAGAAGGATACTTACCAAAAGATGCTAGTTTTGATCCCTTATATATAAATAACTGGTTTCAAAGCCTATTACGAAGGTGTGAAGATATGGAAAATCAAATATTGCTAATTTTTATTGACAATGTTCATAGAGTTAATCCTTTGGAATGTGACATAGTTACTGGATTGTCATGGCTACCAATGTCCTTACCAAGAAATGTATTCCTTATTTGTACAAGTGCTGTATCTTTAGAACTATTACAATTGACCCCAGCCCAAAAGGAAAAATTTAAAATACAAAACTGTTACTATTTGCTGGATGCTGTCGAAGAGACATGCGACAACCAAAGCTACGGAGATTATATTGACGGTGCCTTTGATAATTTAGAGATAGTGTTCGGGGCCAAAGCATTTAGTAAATTAGCTGGTAAATTATTAGCTAATAATTTGCAATCTGTTTAAATCGTGATAATAAGTTTTATTTAAAATAACCTAATTGTGTTTTAGGTTACATAACCTGTTCTGAATTTGGCCTTACGGAACTTGAACTTTTGGAGCTTTTAATGCCTACTAGTAACAGTGACGCAATAATAACATTACAAGATGCTAATTTTAACTTTTCTACCTTGTGCGTCACCAAGTATATGATGAGTAAGGATATTTTAGCTCTAAATATTAAGATTTTTATTGAGACAGTTAATAGTGATATGGTTTATTTACTTAACAGCTATACACAAAATAATTTGTATAATTTATCAGAATCTTTGATCGTGGAGAACGTTGTCTCTGGACGATGTACATGGCGATGGCGAGCGGCCGCGGCTGGAGCAAGGGCAAGGCGGCGATACGTGCGTGTACAAAGCGCTTTACGAGATACACATTCCGATTTAGCTGCCCTACATTTTGCAAATTTTTTGCAAGAATCTGATGATACCGATACCTCTGAGGCTCAGGAATTAGGTATTTTTGCAATAAGGACAATATGGTAAAACAAATGTAAATAATAGATATAACAATCTTAATATAAGACTAGATCAACAGAATGAATTGTCTTGACTTTGTTTTATTATATTTAGCTACTACTTATATGAAACAATAATGTTAAATTTCTATACGATATGTTAGTAGTTATATCTTATTAGTGTCCTAATTATACTTACATTTGCATTATGGCAGAGACATTTACCAGCCTTCCGTATTAAACGAAGCGTGTATCCGCCTAGGATTAAATGGATATATCTCCTTTGAGTGAAATAAGAAATTATTTTAGGTTGTGTGGATGATGATGACGCTCTTCTTGACTCAACACCATTCCACTCAGGCAGTAGAACTGCTGCAGCATTTACACAGCGCCACGTAGAAGAGTCGTGGTTGCATCTCTTGCTTGCAGGAGATTTTTCAAAGTTAAAGGATCTCACAGTGTGCAATTTTGACTTTTTGCTTGCTGCTGTAAGTATTGTATTATGTATAATGTAACGCTGTAATGTAATCCATAACGGATGTAGTATAAAATTATACATCTTTATGTACAGTCGGAACGTTTTAAATAATAACGAAAACGTACTAGTTAGAATGTTTTTAGATGAAATTCCATCTAATAAATAGAGAAAGAAAAGAATTACCTAGTATTATGTAAAATTATCAGGTATTTCAAGCAGAAGACACTCTACACGTTTTATAAGTTCACTCGTATCACTCCATTTTATCGTAAGGATTTCCATGTGGTGGAGGCTTAAGAGAATCCTTCATCTAATTTCTTCATATGGGTTTCGTACGAGGTGACTATAGAAAATGAAATAAAAATATCGTGTCGTAGCTTCTGATTGAGGGTGATATAACTATCTCGTTAACGCCAGACGTAAAATACCTCGATCGTTGACGGGGAGCAGAGTCAAAGACGTCCGGTACTACGATAACCAGTCCACCTATAAACGTGACGATGGAGGTTAATCTTCTTTACAACAGGAGAGGGTTCATTTCAAGGAATGGTAAAAAGTGCTGATTAAGAAGAATAAGAAAGTACCTAAACGTAGCATTAAAATTATCTAACCTTTTTTTTACTTTATCGTATTAATTTTGTGACATCATTTTATTTGTGTAGGTTCAAACGGTAACTATATCGTATCTCCGCTGTATATTGGAGCATGTCCGGTGCTATATCCTGGACCGAGATGTTGAGCTAGTTTATGGGGCTGTGAGGAAATCGAGTGATATTTTGACTCGCGACCCGATGCAATTGGGAGCGCAGGTGACAATTTACAAACCAAGTGTGGGTTTTTTATTAAATTAAGCTGATCATGTAAAATAGAATAATACGGAACAATATAATTATAATATTAAGCGATTCCGAAATTAATAAAAATTTTCAAATTTTTTTTTTATTGTTTACAGTGCTCGTTTTTTTCTTCCTATTTTAAACCTTTTCTAATCTTTTTAATCCATGTTCAGTCAATTCATGTCCATTACAGTAAGGAAATAAGTGTCTGTTTAATTATTGTTATCACCAAACGCATAATTATATAAGGGATGGTACCAGTGCACGCTTGTGGGTTTAGGTGCAATGAAATGTAATAAAAGCAGGTAATTACACCGAATTCAAATGAGAGATCCTTTACAATTAGCAAAAAGCTATACGTGGTAGAGCCATGCTGCAGTTATATTAGTAGTATAGTTGTAGCACGTATGGGCCACGCTCTCAGAGAATACGAGAATAAAATAGTAGCTTAATGCTGTTGTGTGTTGTTTGGTGAGTGTAAAGAACCAGAGATCCTTTTTACTGCAAGCGAGGCGTTCCATCGTAGTCCTCACGGGTGACAAAGCATCTGCATTTTGATTCGTAATCGAGGATAGATGTAAATGTCTATGGGCCACAGCAACCACTTACCATCAGGTGGACTGTGTGTTGTCAACCTATCCTATAAAAAAATGCTGTTTTTCATAAGTATATGATGGATTTTCACAATGTAACAAATGAATATATGATCTAAATTATTAGAAAATTCACTCTAGATATTTTTAACGCAGATTATAGCGTGGTTGCGACCTGCAATAGCCCGGCGTGGAGTACTCGCTACTTTAGTCACAGCAGCAATGGCGTGGTGTGATGGTTATGATAAGCCTTTACTCGTGCCTCTAAATGGATGGTAAGTTGTTTTTTTTTTCTTTAACGCTTCACTGAAATCATTTTTCTTGCGTTGTGTTGATGTTTTACAGAATCTCCTGATTTTCTTATACTTAGCGTAGAGTTCAAGTTGAAATAAATATCAAATACTAAAATCTACAGCCCCTTGAAGAAGTACAAAATTATAGCTTCTAATTCAACACAATAGAAGAATAATGCCATTTATAATATTTTCGTACTAGGAAACTCACTCATCAAAACTTCCCGTTTACATACAATCATGAAATTTGGCATGCAGCAAATTATAAAATTGACGGCTGGTAAGGTACAAGTAAACAAAAACAATCGAAAACTTATATCACATAATTTTTTTCTGTGATTACATCTAAAGTATTTGCATTTTTTCTTTAAAAAAGCGTTACTCTCGCAGTAGGAATTTCACTTGTGGCGTGAAGGCGGTTGACATACTCGTAAATACATTTCACAAGGACACACATGTTTTGTCCCGTAAAAATAAACAAACCCGTAAAAAAATTCACTTGTCCTGTAAAGGATTCGAACCCGTAACATTTGCTGTTGGAACATCGACCGTGATGTACACCGATATATGGGGGAATATTTTATCCTCTGTCAAATTAAGTTTATCCCCTTACCTAATGTTCGGTACATTGCCGCAACAGAGGTAAGGGGCTTGCCTTACCTAATTTCACTAAATTATTTATTTTATTGAAAGTAGGTAATTACTTACCAATGTTTATACGGAACCTTAAGGGTACGTGTGCTACCGGCATTTGTGCGGGATTTTAAATATTTTATATATTTATAATTAAAATAATATTTTCGTGTGTAATTTTATCGAAGTGAATATACTTTAAATAAATAATATTAAACATTTTTGTTTAACTTCTTTTAAAAAAAGCCTAAGTGACAAACAAACTTACAGCCCACCTGATGGTGATGAATAATAATGTAATTAGTTACATCATTATTGTCATCACACGCGCACACGCACACGCACACGCACACGCACACGCACACGCACACGCACACGCACACGCACACGCACACGCACACGCACACGCACACGCACACGCACACGAACACGCACACGAACACGCACACGCACACGCACACGCACAGAACGCATGCACATGCACACGCGCACGCATACGTACACGCACACGCACACGCACATGCACATGCACACACACACACACACACACACACACACACACAAACATACATACATACATACATACATCCGTACGGCCGCACACGTGAAATTAGTCAGAATAGCTTCCTGGAATCTCAAAACGCCGAGATGTGATGAAAATTTGATTTTCGAAAATCGGGGTGAAACCAATAACTTCCCTATTTTTAAAAATTTTCAATTTCCTGAGCGAGAAGTTAAAGTTAAAAGGAATCATTAAACATTGCCAACACAACATTGATCTTCTTTACGTTATCTTTAGTAAAGGACGTCCTACACGGTGTTAATCTTCCTACATGTTCTGTTCAGCTTAAACTTCTTGCACGTTTAAGCTGAACAGAACGAGTCCCCGAGGTGTTACCATCAAGACAGCGTATTGCAGTTTTAAAAGAATTTTTTTCCAAACAGAGATAGATACCTGATGACGGTAAAGACAAAAATAAAGATATATGATGACGGTATTATTTCGTTTTTTTTTTTCGAATTCTGAAATTAATGTACTAGGTATATTGATATAACCGAGCTTTCAGAATTGATGATCTATTTATATTGTCTTTCATCATGAGTTAGTAAAGGTTTATAAATATAAATACTCTATAATCATCACTTTTGGATCAGCCTTGTAATATTCTAAATAATAAGGACAAGAAACATATTTTATTTTAATTGTATGTGTAAAACGCTATACAAATTATCAACTGGTTTCTACACATATAAAAAATTAAACTATGACGTACAGCCTGTATTCATTCCTTCTCTCGGAGGGTTATAAAAATTGTTTTTTTTTTTTTAAATATGTATCTAAGTGTGTGTCGAACTTGGGTATGTCATGATCGCTTAAAGGTCTTAGCTAGCGGCGGCGTTGTTTGGCGGCATCTCAAATACCTGTCCCACATGGGTTTAAGTGCAACTTGTGAGGCCTGATCTGGGTTTGCTATTCGCTGATAAGCACCAAATTTTTATCGGTCTTTTTAATAAGTGCATCATAGTATTACGATATAGTTACTGACCGATTTATTTCCGTTTTCAATTATGTATATACAAATAAAATATTAACTTAAATAATTACAAAATATATAGAAATTTCTATCGCCGTTTCTTCTCCGGTCAGAGAAACCCCATTTAGAAATGGTAGTTATATTTATTATGTTTAAAAATATACATTTGATATATGGGATTTTAATCACTTACCTCGAAGATATGTATATTTTTGGCCGTGGAAGGAAAAGGGAAGATTTCCCACCGGGCGAGGTGTTCAACCCGGGAAGCATCCAATGCTCCTTGTGTTAGTTACAAAGTTGTGCTGTGATTTAGGCTACGGTGCATTCTTGGCTTGGTGCGAGGCTTGTGGCGCGATAATAGCATCGCCACATATATCATTTCATTTCATCGCTGCGATTCTACGGTGCGTGCTAGCAGACTTCATAGTGCGAAATATTTTAATTTCCAGACGTACAGACCAATAATGCACTGGTGATATTTTTTTTCAATAAAGTGAAAGATCATCTCCTTAAAAGTTAGCATGGGTACAAAATGAAGCTCTAATTAACAATTTAATTGGTACTGGCGAGGTACCAATGAAATTTAGTATCAGGTTACACGCGTATAATGAAATTTACGGCGAGCACTTAGCATCTGTGCTAATTAAATTATAATAACCTAGTTAGTTTTTACATTTTATCCAATGCTCATAAATTTTCTGTTAACTTCTGTCAAATTAAAGATGTAAAAGTTAATTATTTAAGATCCACGTAAAACTTTATGTGTTTTACCTAATTTCTGGAGCACCTCCGACCCTCCCTCAATTACGTGCACTATCACCGTTACGACAAATCCCAACATCACTACACTAGGTAAGACACACCACCGTCGATAATAATATACTAGAATGTTACATGTAATTTGTGCAATTTCGATAGCGGTGGTCTTTCCAACTATAATGGTGTTGAAGGTAATGATAATGGGATTAGTCGTGACGGTGATAGGTGATAGTGCAGGAGGTGCTCTTCAAATAAGGTAAATCAAATCGTTTTTATTTTGTTTTTTCTTTAGTAGGTATTGCGGGTTTTTGCGGATATTAGCTGACAAAACTTTAACGTCTGTAATATAATGACTTACCGCAAATATAACGCCTGAGAATAATTCTATTGAATGTCTTTTCACAACTGATAATGTCTTACCTTATATCCTTATTCCCTATAATTATTGTAATAAATAGTTGAAAATTCTTAAAAAAACTACAACTCGAAAAAACTTGCTTTTCTAAAGAAATATATATATTTCATATACATCAGGCTTCAACCACCTATAGCATCGACCGTGCGAGTAATGTCCGTGGGAGGATCAACTGGAGCTGGAGCCCGCCTTTTGCAACTAGCGCCATCTGGTCAACATCTCGTACTTGCACCATCTGCTGGCGACCCACAACTCTGGCATGTCATGTCTAACTCTCGAGTTCACACATTTAAAGGTATGTTTAAGATTATTTTCCTCGCTTTTAAAAGTTATTAAGTGTTATAAAAAAAATCAGGCCGTACAAATTGGATTGCATGCGATTGCAAGCAATTATGAAGTAAAACTTTTATACGTCCGCTTTAGTTTTGGTTTTGTAGTAACTTACATAATTTTGATTCTTTTTTTTTTGGATATTATAGGCATAGGAGCAAAAATTATAAAACACCAATTATTACTTTGGCTACCACTTATCCTGTCAAATTCAATCTGAAAGGCTCTATTTTAACAAGCTCTTATTAACTTGACCTGAATGTATGTATGTATGTGTCTGTATATGTGCATATATACAGACAAATACATACATACCTATATGTATATATGAAAACGACTCGCGAGGACTTACGAGTCTTTTGCGAGCTATTGTATGCGCCGATCAGACAACTGCAGTTCCGAAGCGGCTTAGCCCTTGCTTTTAGAGTAAGGCTCCATGGCTTGAACCACTATCGGAATAAGGGAAAAGGGTCGTAAATTAAAAGCGCCTCGCATTACGGATAGTAAAATTTGTTTTCGCTACTTTATCTGGATATGTGTGTGGATCAGATTCTCTTTCCTATAGAAGAGGGGGAAGGGATCAACCTATTTATCCCTCTCTGGGGGTAGGTACACGCCTCTGCCACCAAAGGATTATGACGTTCATTTATCGAATTGTAATAATCGCAGAACCTGCACGTTCGCTTTAAGCTCCCAGTAAGCTGCCTCCTTACTTCATTGCAAAAACAATTACCAGTTTGAAAGTAATTTTTATAATATGTCATATTTAAAATGTGCTTATCTAGAAAATTCTATCCACCGGTTCATGTGTGAAATTCTTCTTAATGTTGATACCCTATGACATGCTGAGTGTAAACTGTGTAAAGCTACATAAAATTACCTATGAAATGAAAAAAACAAAATTGCTTAAATCGTAACCCTTTTTTGGCTTTGTCGCAGTACTGTAAAAGAGAGCGAAAATTTCACTTTATTTTATAAGGTTATAAAAGTATAGCTAGTTAAAGTATAACAAGTTATTTGTTTCGAATTTTTAACTGTACAGCAAACAGTCAATTGGCATAATATTCCAGGGCAAGAGAAATAGGCGAATCCATTCTGAAAATAAATTCACTAAAGTACGGAAACCGTTGTGAATGTCTTATTGGCTGTGTACAAATGAATCGTCAGCTTAAACTTTGTAATTTATTGATATCTCTGACAAAGGATGTCTGCATTTTTTTCCTATATGTAAAATGTTGATGATGACTTGGTGTTTAATTTATTTTCTTAGTTACTTAAAAACCTAATATTAACTTAATCTTTTTTACTAACTTACGTATTATTCATAATTCTTAATTAAGCATGTTAATCGAATAGCATGTCTGCTAATACCATCGTGTGGTTTACTCAAGTTCCTATTTTCTATAGTTTTCACAGTCCAATTTTAAATAACGTAAAATAAGACATGAATTTTAACAATATTGTACTTTTTTAATGTTTCTAGTAGTAAGCCGAGGTAGATCAGTCACACCGTAAATTTTGTAATACGTTAACCACCCGGGTTCGATCTCCACCGGCACAAATGAAATTGTTAACTTTACAATTTTAAAATCTGATAAACCACGTCCACGGTGGCAAAAAAACATCCTAGATGAGAAAAAATCCTAGATATGCTTTAAAATAGAAATGCTATTATTATTATTAATATTCCCTTTAACCACCCCTGTTAGCTTAAATTAGCTTAAATATAAATGGCGAATTTGAACCGACAACGTTTGCGGTCCGCACCCTGCCATTAGGCTACTGTCGCTTTACCATTATTAACTAATTTATCATAGTTAACAGAGAGTACCTTAAACCTTTTAACATATTTTTTTATTAATCGTCCTGCGTAACGAGTTTAAAGTAGCTTGGATTCTTGCAGTAGTATTCTTGGGTTTTGATTTAACTTTATTTATTATAGAATCACAAACAGATTATAGCAACCAGCCATCTTAACTATTGAAACCGGGACTTTCCTTTAGCAGAAACGGTTTCCAAACAAGTAGACGGTAGTCGGCGACCAGAGTTCAGCAATTTTAATGTTACAGAACTGTTATACTGGTATAAAACTCATCATTTAAAAAGTAATGAACATGCTCTAAACAACTGGAACAAGCTATTGATTCAGTTTATCGACTCCACAGAGTTATTAATTCATTGCAATGTATGTATGTACATGCATCATGAATGAATGAAGTATGTACAACAATTTAACAAGGAAATATGCAAGTTCTCTCTATTACCAAGTTTAAATCTTTTATTAAACACAACTGTATTAAAAAGGGTCATTATAATATAAGTTAATATATGGTGATAAATGGAGTACCAGTTTCGAGCAGTTTCCTAAATAAGTTTTGAAAGTATTTTGTAAAACCTGTGTTTATTATATAATTTGTTTTAATTGTATGATGTACGTGGTAGAGCCATGCCGCAGTTATATTAGTAGTATAGTTGTAGCACGATTGGGTCGGCTCGACCGGGGAAGGACCACGCTTTCACCGAATACCAGCGTAAAATAGTAGCTAAATGCTGCTGTGTTTCGTATGGTGAGTGTAGAGAACCGTAGACCCTTTTTACTGGAGACGAGGCATTCCATCTTAGTCCTCACGGGTGACAACGCAATTGCATTTTGATTTGTAGTCGAGGATAAATGTAGATATCTATGGACCACAGCAACCACTTACCATCAGGTGGACTATGTGCTCGTTTGTTACCTCATCCTATAATAGAAAAATCTAAATAAAAAGGTCCCGCTGGGTTTCTTGCTAGTTCTTATTTTTCGAACCAGTGGTAAAAGTAAAAAGCTTTCAATAAGAATTACTTGTAAAAATTATTCTATTTTATTTATAAATGTGAAAAAATGGAATTAATAACAAACTTAAATATTATCTCACACAACTTGTGTATTTTTGGTAAATACTATAGAACATTCATGACTTCCGGTAGATTAATAGGCTGACTTAACCTCGGAATAAAAATGCAAGTTTGTTTTTTTATATTATTTTCATATTTTAATTACTGAATATAAAAAACAAAGTTGATTTTTGAATTCCGCTTGTTTTTCTAGTTTTTTATGGTTTAGCCATTTCGTTTACGTTATATCGGCGGCAAGAAGCAAGCGTCAAAAGTGAGGAATGTCATGTTTCGATATCATCAATTCGCCTGCCAAGCGTTGAGTTTTATGCAAATCATCCCTACAAAGGTAAATGCTCAACTCCAACTGTAGACTATTGCAGGTTGGTGATGAAAAAGAATTCGTGTAGTGGCGATGTAAGAATATACTCTACCCCATATCTACCGTGGGTGTAGTAAGAGGCAATAGTGAGAAATTGAAATAAAAGATGCAAGAAGCAAAAACATTTTCTTAATAACAATCTATTCTCATTCATCTCTCTTCATTTTATTGTCATCCCGTTTTTAGTCTAACGGGGTGCGCGGCATGCGCGAGTCTATAAATAACAAAACGTCAATGTCAATCAAACGATTATTTTCTCCGAACAACACCTATGTATAATATGTAAAAAAAAATTGTTGAGAATTGTAGTAATATGAGGCGAAGTAAAGCGCGTTATGTATCAAATCGCAGAAATGCGCAACCAGCTCCGTACGTGTAATAGTTATATTAAAAAAAAAATGTTTAAAACAAAGCGAAACTTGTCTGTGGAATCTGACAATATACTCCCTGTACCCTGTGTGTGTGTACTCTGCGGCGGAAATCATAAAAAAAAATCTAAAATAATAATGACACTGCGGTTGCCATCCTACCTGCAAAGCATGGCAACTACGGCGAATTCCTCCCTTTGAGGCAATCTATGTGAGAGGCCTAGATGTGATGGTTGGATGAAGAGGAAGTAAGAATAAAACGATTGTTCAGGTCTAAATAAAATTGCAGCATAATAATTTTATCTCATCTGCACAAGAACCGCAATGCGGAAAGAATACCTACTGCTCTAATCTCTAGACGATTAATAAATGTCTAGCTATAGCTCAAGAACTCCGGACATATAAAACCTACGAAATCAATATTTAAACTTTTTCGATTTTAAATCATTTCGCCAAATTGTGTTTTTGAAGTACTTAATTGAATTATTAATAGAAAAATAATGTAAGATTAAAAGTAAAATATTTTTGACTTTTATTCATGTAATTTAAAGAAATGCCCATAAAAGCGAAACCAGTTCTGGCGTGTTCGTATTTATCATTTAGTGTTCTACTTTTTTCATCAATATAAGTATGGTATACCGTCAATAGAATAAAATACCAAATCTATAATATAAATAAAATTGAAGTGACCGTCTGTAACATTGAAGTAATATGTCTGTAATATCAAAATAACTGTATTTTATTGAGATGAAGAAGGTATTTGCATGATATCAAGATATGATTAACCGTTTTTAACTATCCTTCCACGATTATCTTTGGAATGGCTAAAATGATTGTAATGAAACTTCACGAACCGATAGAACTTAGAGAATCGTATCACTCTATATCGTCTCGTAAGTGTCGTAAGTTGTTAGTAATCTCTCATGGCCTTCGAGAATTGGCAGTGTAACCGTCTCAGATATTATCAAATGTAAAATATCCAGCCCTACAATCAAATCGTAAAAGGAATGGAAGCACCATAAACCTTGCGAGGCTTCTGGTACTCCAATTACCACGGCCAAGCGTGGCCAATTAATTTAAGGCAAATCCTCCCTAATACGAGAGAGTCTCGTGACGGGCAGTGAACTTTAATGGAGTAAAAAAAAAGTCTAATAAATAGTCGAAGTAGTATAACATTATTAAACTAAATATATATTAATTTAGGACACTCTGGACGGATACTGTGCATGTGCGTGACTCGAGAATCACAATATCTCGTCACCGGCTCTGAAGATACAAGTGTCGTTGTTTGGGATCTTCACACTCTGGCAGTTAAAACCAAAATCTTGTATGTACCTTTTTTGAGCACTATATTTTTTCACAATGACTGAAATGATAACATTTTTTTGATAATACTTGTATTAATTAAACGTCTAATTCAATCTTAAAAGTCTTAGGAAGTGCTCACTAACGTCGATATTAAATTCAGGGAACATATCGCACCCGTATTATGCGTCGCTGCGATTGTGAACCGGTCTTTGGTCATCAGCGGCGGTGAAGACTCTGCAGTAATTGTCGCGTCGTTAGTTGACGGTGCTTTGGTATGAAATTTTTATTCGTCAGATTAGATGTATATGACTTATGTAGACATCCTTCATTTTATTTTTATTTTTATTTAAGAATATGATGTATTGTTTTATGACGTGGAAGAGCCATCTTGCAGCTATATTATGGTTGCAGCACTAATCGGATGGCTCCACGGGAATAGAACCAGGCTCTCTCGGAATACCAGCGTAAAATAGCACCTTAACGCTGCTATGTTTCGTATGGTTAGTGTAGAGAACCGGAGACCCTTTTTATTGGAAACGGTGCATTTAATCATAGTCCTCGGGGGTGACGACGTTGCATTTTAATTCTTATCTGTATGATAAATCCAGTCTATGGCAGTCTATGGTTTTTCGCTCTTATTCTTTAAAAATGTATTTATATTTTTACTGTATGTTTGTATGTGTGTATATAATATATGTGTGTATTTATATAAGGATTTATGTACTTATAAATATGAGATGTTGATGAATCATTGAAATCTGCACCTGCCATTAATTTTCTTCAACATACAGGGTTGACATAAGGCATTTTTGAGGTACAACAGTATAGAGTAACGGTCCCCATAAAATCTATGTTAATTTGAATGCTCAAAGTTATTCTTTTTCTTTTTAATAAATGACAATATAAAGATATGTAATCATCATCATCATCATCATTACATCCCTTCACAAGTCCACTGCTGAACATAGGCCTACAGATATGTAATAGAAATAATTAATACCTACTTCATTCACTTTAAGTAAGCGATAACTAATGATTTATATGTGATTTGGAATAGTTCATTATGTGAGAATATTTAAGTACCAATTAACAGCGCATACAATATTTAGGTAAGAGTTCATACTTTCCCGCATTAATATGATTCAGCATAGACTGGGTGCGTTTGGCAGAAAAAAGCGCTAGCAAGCGCTTACTAGCGCTAAAATAGTTTTCGGCCAGGACACGATTGCTACTTCAGTAGCGCTGACACAATCCGCCATTTTGTTTATTTAATTTGTTTGTTTTGAAGTAGAGTTTATAAGTTGTTTTTTTGCAATATTAGTTTTAAGTAATATAATGACATGAATAGACATATACGTGTTATTAAAAATTCATGATTGGTAAGTTTTTAATATGAATACTTCACAAACATATATTTAAATTAGGTTAGGTTTCCCAGTTAAAACTAACATCGTGTCTTAGAGGAAAATAGCTACTTACGATTTGACAGCGCTTACCGCTTACCATCGCCATTTTGCTTACAAGCGCTTGCTAGCGCTTTTTTCTGCCAAACGCACCCACTGTTTTAATGGCTCATTGTTCTAGATATAAAATGTTTTTTTTTTCTATGTTATATAGTTTCATTTTATTAAATCAGATGAGATTCTAAAATTTATTTTAGACTATTTAAATTTTCTTAATATGAATTTGATACAAAATAGGAATACTAAATTATTAAATTGACACAGGTAACTAAACTCGATCATCATAGAGGACCGGTTACATCTGTGAAAGTGATATTAGATGGTGAAATATTAGTAACTGGATCTCAAGACGGAACTGTATGCACATGGAACGTTGATAATTTTACTCTATTGAGCACTGTATCTGCGGGTGTGCCTATACATGTAATGGATGTGACAGATGATAATGTTTTTCTTATAACGCTTCAAGGGGATAATGAATTACATTTGCGAACTTTTATTACTGGCACTTACTTACATCCATTAAAACGACCCAAGGCAAAGGTAAGAATAACCAATAAAACAGCTTTAAATCAAACAAAACAGGAAATATTTTCTTGTATATACAGGTACTATTAAGTATATTTTATTATTATTATTATTTAAAATACTAATACAGTATATATACTTGTATATACTAAAACTATTTTCTGTTTTATCAAAAGGTATAACTAAAAACCCTAGGCCGAAAACAAAGTTTTCCTACATGTATGATACATAATTAGTAAACTAAATATCATTATGTTTAATTTATCATTACTTTCCATGCAAAATACTAATTTTCGTCTAATATAAAATACCCATGGTCACGTGGGACTGCGGTATTTTGCGTACTGCCATAGAACCGGGCTAATTTCAGGTTTTAATATAAATTTTTGTTCCAGCCTTAGCAAAACAAACTAGTTATATCTAAAATTCTTGCATTCAATCAGATTTGGATATAATTTTATTATTTATAGAATTTAAAGCAGATGCTTGCATCAGTCATTTTCTTTACTGAAACTATGAAAGTCTACTTCGGAAATTAAAAATAAGATAAAATTAAACACGACAGAGTAGTAAAATTTTTTACGTGTGTAGAGCCATTCTGCAATTGTATTAGTAGTACAGTTGTAGCACGAATGGGTCGGCTCAACCGGGGAAAGACCACGCTCTCACAGAATACCAGCGTGAAATAGTAGCTTAATGCTGCTGTATTTCGTATGGTGAGTGTAGAGAACCGGAGACCCTTTTTACTGGAAACGAGTCATTCCATCTTAGTCCTCACAGGTGACAAGGCATCTGCATTTTGTTTTGTAATCGTCGATACATGTAGATGTCTATGGGCCGCAGCAACTATTTACCATCAGGTGGACTGTGTGCTCATTTGTCACCCTATCCTAAAAAAAAAATTAGTTTTTTTCAATGTGTCCACGTAAATTTAAGAAACCAATATGATAATTTACACTGTTCGATCTACTGTAAATATTTTTCTATTTTCGTTTTTTATGTTACATAAGTAACAAAATTCCTTAATTGTTCTAAGATAAAATGTTTCTGCGTGGCCCACGATTCATCTCGGGCAGCTGTTGGTTGTGCTGATCAGCGCATATACATATACAGTTTGCATAGCGGTCAACTTCTGCGCACATTAGCAGCTGCTCACGACCTAGCTGCACTGGCCATCGCTGACAAAGACCACTTCTTGTTCGCTGCAGGTTATAAAGATATTAATTACTAATTCTTGTCCTCGGATTTGCTCAGATGCATTACGTTTAGTACCTAAAATTAAGAAACGTGTAAAACAAAAAAATGTGCGTTAAATCACTTCAAAAGAAAACCAAGGTATACATTAAAAATTAAAAAATAAATTATTAGAAGTACACGAATTGTACATCACATAAAAATAATTATATATTATAACAATGCACAATGCTACTAACTACCACTATGTTTACAGACAACATCATCATCATCATCATTACAGCCCTTTACAAGTCCACTGCTGAACATAGGCCTCCCCCAAGGTATGCCACAAAGCACGGTCCTGAGCCACCTGCATTCATCGACTTCCTGCATGTCTTACCAGGTCGTCACTCCATCTAGTGGGGGGTCGCCCTACACTTCGTCTACCGGTACGAGGCTGCCACTCGAGAACCTTTTTTCCCCAACGGTTGTCGGTTCTTCGAGCTATATGGCCGGCCCATTGCTACTTCAGCTTACTAATCCGTAAAACAGACAACAGACAAGTCCAAAAATATTTCACACATTTGCGTACCGATAGATAAATGAAATTGCTCCTCCATTGTCCCCAATTTGCGTTCCGTGATTCGCTGCATTGTGTTTGGTGAAAAGTGAAAAGACGCATTGACCCGCAATATTAGCTGTTCTAGAAATAGTTTGTGTAAAAACATCGCTTTCAGTTTTAATGCCAGAGCCATCAATATTTTGTTTATTATAAGGCATTAATAAAATAGAATTGTTACAGAGTACGACAGCATGTATCTGTCATCATAATTTTCGTTATTATAGTCTATTGAAACCACTGCTGAACATAGGCCTCCCCATAGATTGATTTTAAGGGAGAATACTTGCCATGGTTGCCACTTTCAGCAAGTAGATTGGCAACTTCATTTTTTTATAGTTATCAGGAAAATGCTGCTGCCCATCTGCTGTTTCACTTACCTATATCGCCTCTTACAATAACCACGGTATGTGGTTGTGGATATTTTTACACCGCCATTACCCGATAGTACCAAACCATAGCCCTAATTATAATAGATGTGTATGTGTTATAAAACAATTAAAATAACATGATTTTTAATTATTATAATGACACTGTGACTAAATTAAAAATGATATATAATTAAACATTATCGATGCACGTAAATGCGTCATTTTAACTAGTAGGTTAATTATATATTCTAGATATTATTTTTGCAAAAAGATTAATAATACTAATGTATTTACAGATTATTTAATTTTTTTAAATAAAGAATTGAAAAAAAAACTTACAACGCAAACCTCCGATATGGTCTCCATTTCAAAGGCCTATTTGTTATGCCTATGAAAACCTAAAACCAGAATCCATTATGAAAAGAAACTAGTTAGATATAAAAATTAAAACATCTTTTTTTAAACGTAATCAAAATAACGTAATCAAGAACATCATTTTTCATGGATCATGAATCATAAACTACTTTTATGATTTTCTTATAATCTGGCATTACGTATTTTATACGTAGATCTTAAATCTACTAATTAACAAAATAAAATGTATGAAGGAGTTATTGTCCCCCTTATTACCTTTTCGTAATAATTTATGTGAATATGTTTAACAAATATTAAATTTCAGGTGGTCACAGAGTTACTATATATTCTTTCCATACGGAAGATAATTTAACAAACTTCCGGCCAACTAAACAAATGAAAAGACGTCAAACAAAATCTACTACTAATATAACTATACTACAGGTTATGTTTCCATATATAAATATTTTCTCCATTATTAATTCGAATTTACATTTTGTTAAAAATATTTTTAATATATTTAATAGGCAGAGCAAAGTGAGCTGATACCTATAAGCTGTCTTGAGGTGTCCCGAGATGGTCAGTTAGCAGCCAGTGGTTGTGCACGTGGCCTCGTCCGCGTTTGGCATCTTTCCACGCACCGATTACAGACCACTCTCAACGGTCACATTGGTCACATTACATGTGTTACATTTTCGCCTAATAATTTGCTAGTGCTAAGTGGCTCAGAAGATAGAACGGTGGTCGTTTGGCAACTGGCAGATAACTCACCTTCTTTAACCTATAAGGTTTGTACATTAAAAAAAACATTTAATTTTTTTTTTTTCGAAAATTGTCGAATTTGTAGCTCTTTCTAATGTAAAAGTTTTTCGATTGCTTGGCTTCGTATTACATTTCATAACCTATTTAGATATAATATTTATTATAGTTGCTGCATTTTAGGGCCACACAGCTGCGCTTCAGACATTATTGATGATGTCCGATGGTCGTCGCGCTATGTCCGGTGACAGAGCTCGCAACATCCACGTCTGGCTTGTAGACTCCGGCATTATATTGCACTCTACTAACGGCCCATCTGCTAGCGTAGACGTAACATTAAATATGAAATTTGCAGTAAGTGTTTCTTCTAGAATTTAGTTACATTAGAATATTTTAATACTCTTCTAAAAAGTGGTCCTTATGATTCATTTGTTAGATGATTTGTGATATAAATATCTTACAAAAGTAGAAATTTTCACTTTCTACCTTATTAATTTAATATAATTTATACTTTGTAAGCCTTTTCAGCTGACTTCAAAAAAAGGAGGAGGTAAACAATTCGACGGTATATTTATTTTGTATGTATATGACGCGATATCCTCGTTAATTGTGAAAGGACTTGGATGATTAAAATACAACCTATTAAATAAAAATGAATTTTTATTTAGTAGGTTATATTTCACTAATTTTAAACAATCATTATCTACCAGCTCATGAGATACCTTAAGGATCACCTGCTGATTAGTGAGCTGAGTAGTTCCCCTCGGGGTCGCTCAGCTGGTGACCTTTTGGGTTACCTAGCTCAGAGATGGACGGAGGCAGAGAGGCGGAGTTAGAGTCCAAGAGTCTTTGGACTCTACTGCCTCCGCCGTTGGCCGTTAATTTGTACATAGCAAAGGCCTTCAGTTGGGTATGGCACAAAGTGCTTCTTACAAAGTTTCCTTCCTGTAGGCTTACCGAGAAATTGTGCTATTGGATCACCAGTTTTCTTACAGATCGGAGCATCAATGTCGTAATAAACGGTAATGCTCCGATTACAAGCCTATTAATGCTGGTTTTCCACAAGGCTATCACAAACGTTATTTCTTTTGCACATCAATGGTACGCGTGGTAATGGCGGTCCACCACTGTGCTATTTAAAAGAAGTTTTCTTCCTCGCACAACTTCCTTGTGGATTCGACTACCACCAGATATAAGGACCTTCAAGAAAAGAGCTTACTTCTTTTAAAAGGCTGGCTACTTATCTGCAATTACCTTGGTGTTGCAATAGTTCATGGGCAATGGGGTATTCACTTACCATCAGGTGAGCCGTATGCTCTTTTGTCCTCTTTCCTATAAAAAAGAGGGCATTCCATGTAAAATAAGAGAAATTGTACAATTTCTCTTATTATACATGGTTGGCAAAATTTTTGAAAATTTTAGTAGAATTATTTAGACAACATTTGGGTTGTGATATTGCTTAGCCCATTAAAATTAATTTAATTTTCAGTAAAATAATAGTATAAAATAATTTTCAATAAAAAGTAAAAGCCGACTTCAGAATGAAAATATATAAATATAAAAAATACCATTTAATAAAAAATTAAAGTAGACTTCATACAACAGTATGCAGTCTGTTTTAACTTTTTTATTAAACGGTATTTTTTTATTTACTTGCGATCCAAAACAAAGAAACACATTTCAGGTTCTGTCAGATGGTGATAATTCGATCCGAATTTGGGCACTTACTGGTGGTGATAGTGGAGAGGAACGACGTTCGGTATCACATGCAGAACGAATCACGTGTTTTGCCCTAACAGCGGATTCACAACATGTTGTAACTGGTTCGATGGATATGTCGCTCAAAGTATGGAAATTAGATGGTGGAAAATTGTCTCAGGTAAGTTAGTAACATCAATAATATCTTGTAACTCGTAACTTGTAAGTCTAGACATTTAGTAAGTAATTATAAATAAACAATAAATTAATTGCTCATAGGAGTATCTAGTTGATGGAAGAATTGGTGATAATAGAGTCCAACCAAAGCTTCAGTTTCGGCTTCGGGTTCGCCCAAAAACTGACGTTCGATCGGACACTAGAGATCAGAAAATTTTACACTTTTTCACTAATCATCTGTGGCAGTCCTGATAGAAAAGAAGATGACAAAATTATTTTTGTTGTATAATAGATTTTTTTTTATGTTACATAAGAAAATCTACTTTGTTTATTTCAAACATTACCAAACCGTATTTTGTAGTTAATGTACAGTCTAATTGGTCAAACTCGACAGTTGTCAAAGCTCTCCATGAAAATGGAAATGGAAAGAAACACTCGGTCAGTGTTTAAATAGATTTTTGAATTTTATCGTTTATTTTACTTCGAACTTCTAATTATTTAGTTTGAGGTTTATACTGTAATCATCAATCAACTTACGCTAAAGTAGGTACACTTTACTGATATATATACAACTACCGGGTTACACATTCAGTTGTCAGCTGACTATTCAGTAACTGATTATAATACCCAAAGTGTTTAATCTGAATTGCTAGGTGGTCTCAGAGAAAGAATCTGAAAAATAATTAAAATTCTAGAGCTAAATTAGATTTTTTATGACGTCGGCGTTCAATTCATCAAAGCGTGTCATAACTTTTTATATTTTCCTATTTAGGGAGCGTTATACAAATTCTTCACTATCAATAGCCCTACATTTTGTCTTTACATTCTTTTAATAGCTTTTGTACTTATTCCAAATGTTGGTCCAACGAGTTCGTCGTCTCTCCAAAAAGCTCACTACGACATGACACTGATCCTCGTTTAAAGTACAAGCTACAACGTTGGCGATTTAGAGTATTTTTTTGTCACGATGACAAAACAAAATTAAAGTTCAAATAATGTACGAAACTCAAATTTATGAAGTAACATCACTCTATACATTATATAATCTAAGCGTAAGCCAACAAAATAAGCAAAAACAGATAAATAAATGAATAGGTTGTTATTCATGAGAGGAACCTCTTCATACTCGTATATTCCTAAGTATGGATGTTTACGAGATGAAAGTTATATAGAATATTATTAACTTTTTTGTTATATAGCGAAGGTGAAATGTTATTTCAAAATATCTTATATAAATCAATTAATTTTAACAGTGTAATGTCTAGAAACAATAAGCTTTATTCTCCAATCTTATGTCCCAAGTGCAAAGGCGCCGTACTGTTAAATTGGCACCCAATTGTTTACTTCCCGAAGGGTCCTTCTCAATATCTTTTCGAGCACAACCTTTAATCAGCTTTATTTCTAAATTCACTTCGTTCCTGTACATAAAAGTGGAACAAGAAGATCGGTTGAAGTTAATGAACAGTTTAGTAAATATTGAGTTTAACTTTAGCGATTTTGATCTCGCTTAAGTTTGCGTACGATGTAAATAGGAATTTAATTTTACGATAGCAAATCCAGTTCAAACCTGCACTATATTACTTAGATATATACAATCACTAAATCTAATTATCTGCAATTACTAAGGATTTTTATTGATATTAACTTACTAGATATTCAATTGAAATCATTTATCGCTTACATTATTTTTATTCCACGCAAGACAGGGTCGTCCATTTCAATCGGACTCGAACTGCATGCATGCATTTGTTTTGCTCTATTTAGCCAATCACTGAATGCTGATTAGTAATAACTCACGATCGCTCTGTTGACACTGTACATTCTCTGTTCATGCTCTTAATAATATAGTATCTTGGAATCTGTTAGTTATTAAGAACGCTAATTAAACCTCAGTGGTTTCAAGCAACTTTTACCACGTTCACATTACACTACGTTCTCTGTAATTGACATGTCATATATACCGATCGTTACTACTAATCTTAATCTTCTTCTTAATATATATAATTTACGTGTCACGTTTTTGTCTGCGATGGACTCCTAAACTACTTAACCGATTTTAATCAAATTTGCACACCGTGTGCAGGTTGGTCCAAATTGAGAGATAGCATAGTTTTTTTTTTTTTTTTGCTAATGTATGATCCATAATATTTTTTGCTTATTTAAAGATTTTTAATAGGACATGGCAAAAGGTCGTCGAAAAGGGCAGGACAACGTCTGCCTGGCAAGCTAGTGGTAAATATATTTCTCGAGAAATGATTCAATATTTTACAAGAAAGAAACCTTGCCTTGCTTGCGTGCTTTAAATTAGAGTTTACGTAATTTTCTGCATTTTTATATATTTATTTTCTTTCTTTCATGTCAGGTTCTAGTAGGTCATACAGACATTGTGACATGTGTCGCTGTATCTATAACAAACAAGACTCAAGTTATATCGGGATCCTGGGACTTTAATCTAATTGTATGGGATATTAACACTGGTTCGGATTTACATTTGCTCTCAGGACATATAGGTAAAGTTACATGTGTCAAGGTCACTGGAGATGGTACGATCGCTGTTTCAGGTAAATTTAATTCTTCCATTCCCATAAAAATCCCATGCAGTCGCATGCGTCCGGCATATCCCGAACGGTCGCATGCGTCCGTCCGCACCCACCCACAGCACTTTAAACCATTAAAACTTATATTTAGAGAGTACTTTTCTAGAAAGAAGTTTGGCATTATAAAATCAATACATAATTCTCTATCCTGTGATGTGTAAAACACTAATAAAACACTAGAAAAATCCAAAAATCAACACAATAACATTCACACGAAAATGACGTACGTAATGAACGTAGAATATAAATTAATATCTATAGATTAACTGTTTTTTTTTTTCATTAGAGGATAGAAAATGTCATATTGATTCTATAATGCCAAACTTCTTCATAGAAAAGTAGTCTCTAAACATAAGTATTTATAGGTTAAAAATGCTGTTGGTGGGTGTGGTCAAATTTGACCTATTGAATTTTGACGGAATATCGAAGCGGTCAAATTTGGACGCTTGCCGTTTGAGAGGAATATTCGAACCAATCATTTCTTTGAAGTTTAGTTCATATTATTTACGTTTATTCTCTGATATTATATGCTTTTTTAACCCTGTAAGTAAAGTAAAGTAAAGTTAATATATAGTCACTGCTGGGCTCAGCCTCTGAGGGCATAACCCATGTCTTCGAAATATTTTTTTCGGAACCTGTGTGGCAGTTAACTGTGTAAAAGCGGTGTAGTAATATCCACTACCCCATATCATCGCGTGGGTGTCGTAAGAGGCGACAGATGGAAACAAAACAGTAGATGGGCAGCAGCGTCTTCCTAATAACAACTAAAACTAAAAAACTGCGGTTGCCCACCCGCTTACCAATCGTGGCAACTATGGCAAATATCCCTCCTATAGGACAATCTATGGGGGAGCTCTATGTTCACTATTCTGTTTTTACAGTATAAGGGTGTCAAGGGAGCACACAGCCCACCTGATGGTAAGTAAATACTTTGGCCCGTAGACATCTACATCTATCCTCGATTAAGAATCTACCTTTAAATGCAATGAGTTATCACCCTTGAGGACTAAGATGGAATGCCTCCTATTCATTAAAACGGGTCTCCGTTTCTCTACACCCACCATACGAAACACAACAGCAATGAGCTGCTATTTTACGCTGGTATTCTGTGAGAGCACGGTCCTACTCCGACCTGATCGATACCCCTGTTCGACTTTAATAGACTGTAACATTAACGGTATGATATGCCCTTTAAATTTATGTTTTACGAAAAATTCTACATTTCAAATTTTATTTAACTTTTTTAAAACCATGAACTGTTTTTTTAGGCGCCGAAGATAAGACATTAATTATATGGGAAACGAAACGGGGATTGGCTCTAACTTCATTAGCCCTTCATGTACCATTACTAGGATTCCAAATTACAAGCGACTGTGCTCGCATCGTAGTCCATCTTTTAGATAGAGGTACATATAATATATATTTTAATAACTTTTAGTAAACTAACGATTTTTTATATATCCTAACTGTTATTTTAACAGGTTGTTTGCCCATCATATGCCTACATAATACTCCTGCTACATACGTTAAGATACCAACATATGCTGCACCAACAAAAGACACAGATGGTTAGTAATCACTGCTTATAGATATTATCTATTTCAAAACATAATACGATTAAAGTATCATTTTAAATTTTGTTAGAACTACGTCCATTAGCCCCTAAGCGGCCGATGAGAAGATTGTTGAAGAAAGAAGTATCTCTAGATACCTATACATGGCAAAAGAAGTATGGTCATCTGACGTCCGCTGCAATGATGGCGCAAGTCGATGAACGATTGAAAAGAAGGTAGTTACCTATTTCAATTATCTATACGGCGCGTAATGTCTAAACGCATTCCCGTTTTTTTTTATTTATTAAAGCCCCAGATACACTAGAGGGCATTTTGTCCCGCAACATGACGCGGAACACTCTATCTACGTGATGATGCAACGTTGCACAGTGAACCGCAACACGGCCTGCAACATTGTACGTGACGCGGGACTTTTGTCCCCAACTATATCCAAGGTTTTATTTATTACAAGCGACCCGTAATTGGCTTTGCCTGGTTAGAGTCTATTAATATTGTGTTATTTATACTTAATCTAAATATTTCAAAACAAAATACAGTCATTCCAAAGATTATCCCAGACATACTAACAAAAATAAAAATAAATGGTTATCCTTGACTTAATGGCATGCAAGTAGGCTTCTTAGCTCACATGAAGGAGTTATTTCGATATAACAGACATTTATTTATATTTATAGTTTTAATATTTTTTTCTTTGGTTTGAGAAATTGTGCCAGGCGCACACAATATATTATGCATCAATAAGTTTTGCCTTTATCACAATATACAACATTTTCAGTGGAGAATATGCCTGATTTATATTCCCTGCAAGTAAATTGTTAGAGAACAAAACCAATTTTATTTTGTAGTACTCATAAATCTTTTACTATAATGACCCTTCGTTTATTCTTTAAGGTTTTCAGTATCAGCTTCAATGGAAGAAATATCAAAAATACAGGAAGCTAAAAATAAAGATTTGGGTTCTCAGGTAAAAATTATTTATATTATAAAGTAAAATTGTTTTTTTTTTCATACAGATAATTATAAATATTTTGCATTACTTAAAATATCATTTCAAAATAAGGTGAATTTTTTAAGATAAACGTAAATTTAAAGTCATTGCATTTTAGGTGAGCTTAGGCCCCGAACAAGCGGCCATTGCACAATCGCAACATTTCGATCAACTTGAGGCGCTTTGGAATAAAATTTCGCCTCCACGACGTCGCTCTAACAAGGTATCCTTCTGAACAACGAACATTCGTGTATCGTATAACATGTTTTAAGAAATAGTAACGCCTTAAAAATAAAACCTTATACATGAAATCATCTGTAGTTTAGTAGTAACTTTTGATCACTGTCCTCAAAATTTCAAACTTCACGCGTATAATTTTTTTTGATGTTATTAATGAAAAAATGTTTTCAGTCTCTGTCTAAGCAAAGTTCGTTGATCGAAAGTCGATTCGACTCTTCTGATGAAGAACATACACCTGTTGAAGAACAAGGTTAGTTTTAATGATATCTTTAATTATTATGAACCAACTTTTATTTAAGCTAAGCTGATAAACCCACGTCTGGGATGGGTATCTAAAAGTGAGAACTCACGAAAGTACGAACGTCAATAGCGATGGTTATCATTGGCTGCCTGTTTCTAAACAATAATTTTCTGTTACTAAACAATAATTTTCTACTATTGCCATAGGTTATAATACGCCCTATTGCTGAGCATCTCAGACATGCAGGTTTTTTCACGACGTTTTTCTTGAACGCCAACCACGTGGCACATGAAATTGCAACTATCTTTGATAAGAGCGCGATCGGACCAGGGTTACTTTCATGCTTCAAAAACTTAGTCTCTAAACCACTACTCTTACTACCATTTCGAAATAAAATTACATTAATCATTAACAAGACATAAATAAAAAGCGTAAGAAGCTTCGCTTCTATTGATTGTCCCACGAAACTCCACTTTTTAACTTACAAACTAAAATATTATACAAACTATAATACTATTATATTTTATCACAGAGCATATCGTCGAGTAAAGCTGGTGCTGAATACAAAGTGGAAGATTTCATAAACTATATTATTAATGTTAAATTTATAAGTTTCAATGAGCTGGTCTCCCTAAACTAATTTTATTTTATGAATTCCATTATTGTTTAGATTTAACAACTAAGTATTTTAATTCATTAATAAAATGACGTTAATTTAAAAAAAATCTATTTATAAAATATATGCGAAAGCGTATTTTTTATAAATAGTGCGTTAGTGCACATAATTTATTTGTATTATATTTTGACGTGACAACGTCTTATAAATTGGTTTGCCGGGTGACACTTCAAGAAACTGCGTTACGCTCCGCTCACGTTATGCGCTCACAATGAGAGCGAGTGAGAGGCACGCGTCCCTTCCACTCGGGCATGGTTAGCCCGCCTAAGAGCGAGAGAGACAGACATAAAAAGTGAAAGGCACGCGTCCCTTCCACTCGAGCACAGTTAGCCCGCCTAAGAGCGAGAGAGACAGAGCGAGAGAGAGAGAGAGTGAGAGAGTCGTTGTCACGTAAAACTTTCGCCCGTACTTTACAGGCAACCAATATTTTTATTATAAGAAATTAAATGTAATTGTTTTAAAATTGCAGAATACACATATAATTTTAAGTAATACAATTATTGAAAACATTTTAGAATAGAAGTTTCTAAACCTCTAGCATCTATTGCATTGTGATCTTGTAGTTGTAGTTTATTGTAGATACCGGACCAATTTCTTTGACGGTCAACTTCTTGAACTCCATAAAAATTGTCAAGAACTATTTCCAAACAAAAATAACACTAAAAGAAAGATAATTATGGCATTGATTTAATATTTAAGGAACTGGTCCGTTTCTATGATATAAATTAAGAATTGTTCACGCTATGAATTTATCATAGAAAAATTCTAAATAAGTGTTGTTATAAAATAAGTAGCATTCAGTCTAGTTAAATATTTAAGTATTATTTTGGTATATTGTTTATCTTCAGTTTGTGTATTTTTATATGAATTCAGTCATATCAAGGCCCAGTTTTAATTGTATACGTTGTTAAAATATTTTGTTGATATTTGTATAGGTTGTTTTGTATTTGTCCCATATTTCTTTCATAATCTACTTGTAAATGGGTTGAGTCTACAATTTTTTTTTCATTCAATTTGTACAATGTTTTATTGAGTTTATTCAAATAGTCAATAAAATCATTTTCCCCGTTAATGTATTGAGCTAGTTTTCCAAACTGTGATCCCTTTCAAAGACTTCTACGTAGGTAACATAATTATATTCTATATTATTAAATACCACGTCTCAAATAAGAATCCTTATTATATTGTCATTGTAGGTTATACGTACATGAATATTATATATGTTAGATATAGAACGAAACTTAAGTTACTTTACTCAAAAGCTTATAAATGTATCATGTTCCCAAAATAAAAATGTTTTATGCTATTTATGAATATCATTTAAAAAGTTTTTTTATGAAACTGTTTCAATTTTATGTTTGAAACTCAATATGCTGCTTTTATTTTCAATAATAGTTGTACAATAAAACGATTACAACAAAACTCCTTTAAATTTTAGTGAATATATTAATTTAATGTTTAACATTTAAATTAGTTAAAAGTTTTTAGAAAAGAAATGTTAAAAATATTCGGCACAGAATTAAATGTTTAATGCACTAAGATTGTTATTACTTTTAAATAAAAAAGTGATAGATTGCATTGAAAGGTTAAAACCTACAATTAAGTTACTATTTACAACATACATCTATATAACAGTATACATAATATGAACCTACTAAAGAACTCTTTGATCACGTTTAAAAACATGTTTTCATAAAAATTTGCTATCTATGTATAACATTAGAAAGTAAAAATTTGTGCTTAGTAAATGTTGGTCTTAGTGACATATTAAGGAAACGCAATAATATTAATACTAATAGGAATTGTAGTTGCACTTAAAAATGAAAAGTTTTAGAACTGAATCTTCTTCGTTAATATACTAGCGAGTTTGCTTTATAGTATCCACTACCTAACTACGTATTAGCTTTAACATTGATACAGTGTATTTCATAAACATGCCACGTTTTTTTTTTGCTAAATAAAACCTTGAGACAACTATGTTACAATAAATAAAAAATAATTTTGTTTATAGTACTGAGACAAAACTTTTGTGTGTGCGATTTTTAAATAGACCTGTTGAAAACCACAAATGTAAAATATAAAACCATCAGTATTTAAAGAAATACTAAAATTCAAACCAATAAAATAATACATTGCATTATGCTTGTTTTTTCCTGAAATTTATAGAAATATGTTAAGATTATCAAAAATTCGTGCGTAAAACTCATTTTTTATTTGAAAAGAGGGAAGGAATGAAATTTTCTATTTAGTTTACTTAATTAATTTACTTTTTTTAATTTAACATACTAATAATTAAAACCTTAAGTTAAAGACGTAAGCCCATAAACGTAGTACTTTTAAAAAAGTGTATTACATCTATTATGACGTAATATGTTGCATATTTCTAAAGGAATATCACATGAAAATTTTCCCGCCCGTTATAAGCAGCTATTGTAACCGACTACCTGATACTCTCTCGCTTCGCTGGGCGCACGATAATATTTTATTGCGGAACCTAGATGTAAAATATCAAGAAAACATTTTTAAATGGGACTATTGTGAAGTCCGTTGTTACTGAACGTAGTTACATATATTAATATAAAAAAAATGTAAAATATCAGTGCCGTAGGCTTCTATACCGTTCACCTGTTACTCCCTATTTTGACGGAAAACACACACACACACACACACACACACACATATATATATATATATATATATATATATATATATATATATATATATATATATATATATATATGCAATAATTAAACTGTTGTTTGATTTGGTTGGATATCTGTTTGATTATATGGACTCCTATTTTTTCTTTAATATCTTTTAGAGTTCTTCCTTTATTATATATATATATATATATATATATATATATATATATATATATATATAAGCATGAGTATATAAAAGATCTAGACAGTGACCAAACTTGATAAAAACGTACTGCGATGAATGCTGCATTCACGTAATCACCTCTTTTGGAAAAACCAGTTTATACTAGCTCAGCCTCAGGACACGTTCCGCGGCCGTGTAGTGCATTTTGTGATGCGGCAATTACCGTAATAAACGGCATTCGGGATTTCTAGACATAAACTGAAACAAATTCCTTTACCGTCCGTCTAAAAATACAGCAGTTCACTTGAAAAGAAAGTGTAAATGAAAAGTGTTTCTTTTGTTCATGAAACAATACCTTAATTGTTTCATGAAAAAAAGAAAATAATGTGAGATCTCTGTTACAGAATTATATTTAACTTGACCTCCGTTATTATTTAGATAAATTAATAACCACCTTTCGTAACAAACTACTATTTCAACTATTAATGCAACTCTAACCAAACACGCGATTTGTTGTCACGAAAATTGTACACAGCTTGAAATGCGAAGTAAAATTACACCAATATAATATTTAAAAAAATAAGATCAAGTTATGAAGAATATAAAATATGTAAAATACATAAAATAATATATCCTAAAAGTAATGAAAAATTTGTAGGTCTTTTTTTCAACTTCGTGCTAAACGTCACTATTTTAAAGTTACTGTAATCACGGAAATTTTATACAAGAAAAACAAGGGCTACGCGAGCGTTACGCATATTTTCTTTGGTTTCTGTGTGGCGATTCATTCCATTACAACCCGTCACAAGTCTATTGCTTAACATAGGCCTCCCTCAAAGAATGGCATAAAACACGGTCCTGAGTCCCCTAAACCCATGGACTTCTTGCAGGTAATGGGGGACCTGACTACACTTTACGTACCTGTACGAGGCTGCTTACACAGGAACCTTTTTCCCCTCGGTAATTGATTCTTCTAGCTATATAGCCGGCCGATTGCCACTTCTTTGGTCCTATAATTCTGACCGTATGAGAAACTCGGTCGCTCAACTAGTAATGGAGAGGATGTGGTGATATATTTAGAATAAATTCGATTGTACTTACTCAAAACTAAGACATGATTTGTTTTGTATATCAGGCTATTTTTACAAAATAATTCGATCAAAATTTCAAGATTACGTGATTCTTTATTCAACAATAGCAAAGTATTTTACGATTACGGTGTAGTAGTTTTTTATACATTTGCATAATTTTGTAGCTTTTACTGGATTAATATTCAAGTCAATGTCAATAAACAAAGCATTTAAGTTTATCAACTAATGTGTGATATATTTGCTATGCCTTGCAAGTGCTAATTTCTCAGAGTAAGTACATAAGTATATTATTACTCTAATTAGCCTTAAAGAAAATTTTGTCTGTTTTAAATAATGATTGCCAACCTATTAAAAGAAATACTTAACAAGTCTTTTACAAACAAAATACACAGTGTAAATTTTTTATTATTACATATAAATTAAAGTAAGAATTTTAATAAAATTATCTACCATAATATTCGGTATTGAATTATTCGGTATTTCAGTACTATGTACTAAAAGAGAAGTCGAGTCTTGTTGTTTGCCACACGCGTTTGAGGTATATAAAAGCTCTAAAAGGTACTGTGTGTGTCTGACCACGCAAGCACTTTCGCTCAGATTTTGTACGCGATGTCTGTTCTAGTACGTAGTAAGTACATATTATTACTTCAATGTATGTCAGTTGTTTTATTAAATGCTCGTACGACTTTAGCAACCTTTTAAAAAAATTTCACCCTGGGCATGGAATATATATTACCCACCCAGGGTAATATAATATATACCTACTCATGTCAGGCTTACTTATTTAATCAAGCTTTCGACCGTGGTTATTTTGTTACAATCCAATAAATACAAAAAGGAAGTATAAATGATTAGTAGGTACAACTAAAGTGGATTAGAACAGCTGAAATCAGCTGTATAGTATTATAACTGTACTAAGTAAAAACGTTATTTCTTAAGAAAGTAAGAGGAAAAAT